GATCGGTGTCGAAACGTTTGATTATTGTATATATATACGTTTATTAAAGATCTTATATTGTAGTTGGCTCGTTTGCCCTTGTTTTATTTATTGATTTATTCTAATTGAGCCATATTAACATTTAATTATTTCTAAACTAATTAGATGATTGGAATTGAACTAAACATTTTCACCATATTATATACATTTCAAATGTTTAAGTATTGAAAAGTTCTATATTAAATCAGTGGAATATATATTTTCTATGTTAGTTGAATGGAAGAAGCAGGCTACATTAAATACAAGGCAAATGTACAAGGCAAGCATAGAAGCAAAATAAAGAAAACAACTTTTAGTTTTATAATTAATTATTATATATAATCTAAAGAAATGAATAAATTAATTTTTTATATATATCACTGAAACAGAATGACTTTCTCATTCGTTAAGTAATAAACAATTTATGCATGTTATAATGAACTGTAAATGATATCACAAGAAATTTTTTAAATATTATTTTAAATATTTTTCGCAATAAGATTTATTACAGTTTTTAAGTTGGGGAATTTGGGGGGATTATTAATATTTTCAGATTTGATTGCGTTGAAAGTCCGACAACCATATCGGCACGCATTTATCATTTCTGAAATTAATTCATTTAAATGAATTTACAATAGTTCAACATCTTAACGTTCTGACCGTTATGGCGCTTCTTAATTTAAAATTATTATGTTTAACATTAGCGGTCTTTCAATCTTATTATTGTTTTTAAATATTAGTATCGATATTTACAAGAAAAGCAGAGATATTACGAGAGCATTTAGAAAGTTGTCATGTACTCGTGTGTTAAATATCTCATTAATTCGTAAGATTTCTAAAGTTCCACGTTCCATCCGGTCTGACGCGGTCTCTACAGAAGAATGTTATGCATAATACATACATAGATATGAATACATATATATATATAAACAATTCGTAAAGAAATTATATATTTGGAAACCGATAATAGTGATGTATCCTGCAGTTAGAAATTAATTCCACCGCGCAATCGCAAGTTAGTATTAATCTTCTTTATGCATAACACGAGTTAATAGAAGTCGCATCATTCTATAGATATACCGATTGCGATGCAGATGCCGTTTGGGATTTGTTCTTGCGGTGTCAGTTGTAACATCCCCAGTATGCTGTACGCCATCGCTAGGCAGCCGACGTATCCGCGCAATGTCCGACCATGCAGATTCCTCAGCTCGGGCAGCAACCAGTAGACAACATACGTGACGACCAAGAACGGGACGGATGCGAGCATCCCGAATGAATATATGATCCCGCCGTTGTCGTCTTCGATCACTTCATCGCAGAAGAACACCATATATTCTGGATACTCATAACTTTCCACTCGCGCCAGACAGTAATGATAATGATCGAGGAGACTCTCCTCCGGCTCTTCAGACAGAGGTAGTATTATGGTGCCATTGGATAGTAGGTACCATTCATCGTCCTTGTATACACGCGGATTCAAAGAATATCGTTCCATACCAGCACATGGATTCCATATTACAAAATCAAAATATTTTTCACTTGCAGTGACATTCGCCGATATAAGATCCATTTCGTAGATCAGTGGCAACTGTACTGCTTCCGTCCCGTTCATGGTGGCCTCCACGCAATTGTCTCCGTTGAGGAAAGTGCCGACACGACAGCATAGCGACACGCGGGGCTTCCCGGAGCTGTTACCATCGATACCGGTCGTTTTCTAGGAGTAAAGAGCCAGAGGAAACGAAGACAAATAATGTTAATTCACAATTGGACATGAGCAAAGAGGAACCAAATGCCATTTTGAGATTTTTTGTTATTGAAAGTATTATATAGCGAGTTATACATAATATTATACAATCAATTGGCAAAATTATTTTATTTTTAGATCCACACATGCTATTGTAGAATTTTTTTTATTACTATCTGAATATTACTCAGCTTTTTGATGTTAGTTTCTTTCTGCGTATTACATCCAATTACAGTTAATAGAGAAAATTGAGTCCAAGCCATTATGTAAATTAGTCAATCAGAGATGAACAAATTACTGCAATTCATTAGCAGATTAACATTTAAATAACTTGGCCTATAAATGTTCCACATATTTCATTGTATCTAAATTATTTACATTTAATCAAGTTAATTTTCAAGATACAAGTTCTTTTGAAAATCTTGATCAATTACGGCATACAAACAATTAGTAATCGTCTCTGATCATTATTTCACGAATACTCCAATACTATATTACTCGAAAATTTACTATCAGTTATCATAACGAAATCGGCATTAAATATCGTTACGGTAAGCAAAGTATTACAATACGCGTTAGCAAAGCGACGAAGTAATATCTCATCGACAAATTCCAAGTAAAACATAGTATGCAATCGAACTTGGAATTATCTCTACCTCCAGATAAACATGAGGAACGATAAAATTTTCCTTCCATTTTGATTCCTCTGGCTCTTCCTCTGTCTGATCGCTTTCGAAAGTAGCAGCCGCGATCAAGATCACGTGAAACACGATGAACAGGGCTGTTCTCAGATGCCGTTTCATTATGTACTAATTTAATGAGGCTGCTAAACAGCAACTCTGAATAATTATCGTCACCGCCTCTCAACGTTATCGCCGTGCGGAAGCTTACTCACGAAAGTGCCACAAGAAATGAAGCGGAAGAGAGAAAGAGAAAGATAAAAAACACGATGACTCTCTGAAGAAATATACTGTAAGTCTCTCTCTTTATTTTATTATCATAAAATGATAATAAAATATAGCCAATTATCTCTTATTACTCGTTAACCTTACTATGTCTCGCCGTGTTCAGTGCGTGAATTGTTGAACCAATCGAGTGAAAGTGATAAAGAAGGGTGCGAACTTTAATCAGTGTTTAAGATATCGTGTATCGATATAACAACATCCTTGATGAGATATAGTTATTTACAAAAAGCATTACTATTCACAGATATGTGTTACAAATATATAAATGATAAACAGTTACATAAATAAATATATTACAAATACAATTTGTAACATATTATTTTAAATATTATCCATATTACTAATATAATTATATTCTGTATACCAAGATAATAAAATCTTATTAGTTTAATTATTGCTTCTTTATAGTTATGGCTCTAAGCAAAAAGATTAATGAGATGTTAACTAAAATATACAGATATATATACTGATAACTAAAATATACAGATTTGCATTTAAATGTATATAGTTCTCATGAAATGTACACCAGCTAAACACATAAATATGTAAATGATTATCTCAAAGCATCTATATACAGCGACATATTTACCGGTTAAATACAATACTTGACAATGAAGTTATAATATATGTATGTGACAATTGAAGTTAATATGTACAGAGTACAATCACTCGATTATCCAATGCTTTGTTAAATAAGCAATTTGTTTATGTGAAAAATACTTTTACCTGTTATGTTGCAAAAATATTTTATTATCGTATATACTGCGAATACTATTCTGATAATCAATGAGTCAAGGGATCAATGATTCAAATGACTGAGAAAGGGGCGTACATTTAAATAAGTTAGTACCAATCGATTTGATAATAACGTATTGACTTATGCAATATAATTATTTATCAGGGAGATTGGAATAAACGCGAAGGTGGTAAAATGGTTATTGCACGATTTCTTTTTTTTCTTCTCAAGTAAATCGTCGAAACGATTGAAAAATCCATCCGGATTCAAATATAGCACTGTTATCACTAACGATTGCGTCGACTTTCAGTTATCTCGTTGGATTCGATAAAATTAGCACTAAGTTCCGTTTTGCCGCAACTTTTCCTGGCGACGGATGAAGCAGGAAGAGCGCACGAGAAATGTGTACACTCGCGCGAGCAACCGGACGATACTACCAGACAACGAGTCGACTACGTTAGAGAAGTAGCCTACCTGCTGCGAAGCCACGCATATAGGGCGATTCGAAAAAAAAGATTCATTGACAAACCGGTACATTCTACAGATGGTAGCTTGACCAATCCAGCAGCAACGTAAATTTAGACGCTTAGCTATTTAGATACATATGCTCCGCAATGGAGAGCCATTATATTTTCGAGAAGATTACGAAAACTGAGAATAGATTTACGGATGATTAGACGGGCGAGCAACAAAAATTTCAATTTGTACCAGGTGCTATTTTATATACAGCCGAAAGATTTATCTCAAGAAGCTATTAATCGATAGTACAGGCGTAGAAAGAATTTTACTTCCTGTCAGAGATTCTCACAGCTGATATTTTCTCGATTCTAAAGTACAAAAGAAAAATAAGTTATTGAAAATCCAAAGATGATATAATTATATACTTTACCGTTATTCATATATACTTTTATCCCACCCTGTAAGCAATGATGCTTGACCAATATAAAGATACACAACATATAACACGCAAAAAACCGGTTTGTACTCATCGTCCTTATCTCACATCGCATTCATTGGGAGGATCATTAACATTTGTTTTACGGGAAATCGAAGCTAGTGATGGCTAGACAAGCGCCGACAGGTCTTTAGTTCAGATCTAATCCCGACTTTCCTCATTGAAAGGACCTTTTCGATCATATTTTCCTCGCAATAATGTGGAAAGAATCGTGGATTAAATTGTATCAGGAAATGTAGTATATGATTCTTACATCATCACTAATCACAGAGATATCTGAATCGTGCATGCAGAAAAAAGCGCGCTGATTCATACGATTTGTGCTCCATATTAATGATGGAATACAATAACACTTTTATACGTAATAAAATATGTACATGTGTTTATATGTAATGTAATTGTAAAGTAAAGTAACTAATCCCTATAGATCTATCTTATGAAATTATAATCGTCGTTTTTATAAATCTATAAAAAATTTAATATAAAGTTTCCTTCTTTTGTTATTATTAAAAGTTTGTTAAAGAGGAAAAATCTTTTATATACCTAATTTTATAATTTTCATTTATATACTTTAGATATATGTATATATCATATTTATACTATATATATTTTTATTTATATATATATTTTTTTATTTATCTAATATTTCTTATTTTTAATTTTCTTCTTTGTCGTTTCTCGATTAATATATATGAGTTAATCAACCCATTGATGACTAAGTATACAACTTCGCAACCATAAATATAAGTTCGTGATGTATCTTTTTCGCATTGATAATGATAATTTTATTCATGATAACTATTTTTAAAAGTATGAATAAAAATCTAAATGTGAAAAATTAAAATAGTACAAGAGATTTAAAAATATCTCGTTTTTATAAGATCTCTTAAATATATTAAAAAACTAATATCGAATATTAATATCGGTTACTCTCGTTTAAAATGATCAGACATTTTTTAAAAGGAACTATATAAATTTACTCGTTAGTTGCTGGAATTAATAATGTTCTCTTGGAAATAATAATTAACTCCATATGCAGAATGTTAATAATTATTACATTATAGTAATTATTTCATTAACGCATAGTGTCATCTACTTTATTATTCGCATTCGTGTGGATCCTCTCGCGAGATAATATTCCCATGATTATCATTTCGAAGAAAAAACAAGGCAACGCGAAATTAAATGTAGATTTGTGATTTAAACATTGACATAACATTGACTTGGCACGAGACTTATCATTTTAATTATTTTTTCGCACATAGTAAGATGCGATCATCAGTCTTTCCTGCGTTACATACAAAGTGATAATGTCGCACAATAATTTTTCAACTCTACTAAAATCGTAACAAGTTTTTCATCACAATCACAGAAAAACATTTGCGGACGGCTCAACTTACGAAGTGTTGATTGTTAGAGGTATTACATAAAGAGGCGCTTACCTGTGCTGAAGCATAACGGGCGTATTGGAATCATGTAAATATAGTTGGCCAAGATCAGGAAGACATAGGCGATAATTAAGCAGATGACATAACACATGAGCGTCTTGCCGTAGAGGTTTCTTAACTCGGGAGTAATTGCATACACCAAGAAAGTGGCAATGAGGAACGGAATGGACACTATGATGCCCACATGATAATGAAAATCTACGTTCGCTTCGTTTTCCGGCGTCCAGCAAACCAAGATGCCAATTCGATTGACAGTCACTTTCCAATCAATGCAATAATTCCAGAACGGAAAGATCTTCCCATCAGTGTCGACAAAGCTGCCATTCGCCTGGAGAATAATCTTCTCGTCACCGTAATTATCGGGATTAAGAGCGTAGTACACGCGACCAGGAGGACAGGTATTATCCTGCACCAAGTGGAAGAGGTTCTTCAGATTTTCAATGTGTTGAATCTCTTCGGTCATTTGCTTCCTCGATAGACGCAAATGAGGTGTCTCGGTCATCAGCTCCGTATCGTTCTGGGGCATCTTCTGGCATATCTCGTAATTGTTCTTCTTTTCGCGAAGAACCTCATCATTTCGGCAGCATTTCCTGATGCAATTACGTAATCTGCAAATGCAACCATAAGTGACATTGCCGTCAGTCCAGCGCAGTTCGGCCGGATAGACGATGCCATTATAAAAAAAACTGCTGTTCTCCAAGCTGAGGATCACGCTGAACGATGGCGAACAACGCGGATCTTTCATCAGCGACAGTCCATCGGCAGCATTGCCGACGTCGCCGATATCGTCGGCTATCAACAGGCCACATGCAGCGAGGAGGACCGCCAAATAAAAACTTACGGAGCGGCCACCCATCGCGACAAGGGCGTTGAAGAGCGAAAACTATCGGCCACAACCCGTGCGATCATCTCGGTGGCTCCGCTTCGCGCCCGGCGCAATTGGCGCCCAGCATATCTGCGTCGGAGAATGCGCACCACGACGAAGCGTCGCGACGCTTCGCGCTCGTACACCCACGACGAGATTTCTTTGCTTAAAAAGAGCATTCTCGGATGAAAGGATCATGTCTATAGCTACTTATCTCACATTGTTAAGCGAAGAGCGCCGCTTATTACATTTAATATCTGAATTGATTGCGTCCATTATCTTCTATTTCCATAAATTTACGTTTTATACAGAACTAAACTTCTTTGACAAAAAGTAAAAAAGCAATTTATATATAAATAGTTAATTGAAAGAAAAATGTTATATAATACATATATACGTAACTATATACTTGAAATGTGTTTGGACTTTGGAGACTAAAATACCTGTATATATCCGGGCTTGTTCTATAATATATGAAACTGTCACCCGTTTGATCGGTCTGACTTTTAACCCCCCCTAATAGCGAATTATAGCTACCATGAATTTGAATTTATATCGTCAAATTTACGATAGTTTATAATTCTAAAGTTAACCCAGCAAATGCTAAATATTCTTGAAATATTCATAAAATATTCTTAAAACCCCAAAAAAATATTCCAAGAATACTCCAAAATATTTCGAATATTTACGGTATGTGCGCTCGGCATCGCCGCTCACACGTCTCACCGCACCGCCAAAGGACTCACGCGATGGCTGCTACGCACATTCGCGATTTCATTACATATGTAATAATAACATATGTAATAATAAATAGGACAAATACAAACCATAATAAACTTCGATGAATAAAAATATCGAAAGAGAGAAAGCGATGAAACCTATGGAAATCTACAGAAAATCTAATTAATTTTTATCGTAATCTGTCGCTTCTCTAAATTTCCTTTCTCTAAATCGAAAGGAAAAAGTTTTAAGAAAAAAGTATCCGAAAGCGCTAAGCAACGGCGCGCTTCCCCTCTTGCCTCTCCTGCCGCCGCATCCATCGTTTGTCAAATTGGGCCGGGCTATACCTCGAGCCGTTTCTATTCTTTCTATAGGCGCGCTCTCATTAGTACAATTTCAAACTTTAATATCTCGATTATTATTACAGATATCGCTAAACGGTAAAGGACTTTTATGTTTATTTCGATCCCATCTACCTTCCTGTGGGAGATTGGAAGAGTCGCGCTGGACATCCTGTATATGGTATAAATCGAATACTGTATTTACTCATGGAACACATTCGTTTCTTTATCTGCGGAAGAAATAAAGAGAAAATTATAATTATCCAATATAATATCAAATATCTATTTTACCTCTCGAATTACCCAAATGTAAAAATCTGGCCGTGGTCCGATTTATGCTGACAACGCTCATGAACATCATTTGTCTTCGTTTAACATTTGACAAACATCAAGGATGAAATGATTTTTAAGCATTGCGAGCGTGAATCGGACCGCAGCCCTGATAAAAACACCGCGGATTTTTCTTCCTCCAAACAATTCGGATGTACGCTACCATTATAATTCAATAGCGGTGCCATCTACACGCAAAATACCGAAACTTACTATTACTCTGTTATCATCAATCGATATATCGTTCAAGTAGATTTTAACATTGCCAACTGTTGATTTTTTATCAATCTAAAATGATTCCTGCAATGATCGATTATTATTATTAAGGAATGCTGGAGTCGCTTGTATTACCGATAAAACTAGCATTATTGACGTTTTTGATACTGATTTGTCGCTGGTGTATTTTGTGTTCAAAGCTGAAAAAAAATACAAAATTACAGATTTCTTTATTCATTTTACATTTAGCGTTGGTCGCCATACTGACATGAGATAAAAATGGATAAAGAAATCTAATTTTTTATTTTTTCAGCTTTGAACACAAAATACACCAGCGACAAATACATTAGCATGTATATTTTAGTAGAAAAGGAATTTTTATTTTGCGAAATCACTACGAAGAAATTCGACAGAAACAAAAATGTTAAAAACGCTAGTTTTATCGGTAATACAGGCGGCTCATTAACAAAACATCGAGATAATCGATAATGAACTAATATCAATGTTGATAATAATCAAGGTTGTGCGTATTACCTCAAAAAAGTTACCGTTATCGTTATCAATTTTAAAAAGTAACGCGTTATCGTTATCGTTATTTGAAAAGTAACGATTGATCGTTACTTCCCAGCTAATGCTAAATATTCACAGAAAGTTCGATTCATATTACCAATGTACAGAATGTTCCGGAACAGTAAAAGAATCGTTACAGAATGTGCAAATGTCGATAAAATGTTCAAAATATTGTGGGAATACTCTTTGTATATTTCACGAAAATCGCTAACGAGCGAGCAGTACACATCTCCGCCAACAGAGGGCCGCGGCGAAGAACATTTACTCGTAAACAAGAATCACTTGGGAGAAAATATAAGGAGCACAGCACTTCGTCTGTGAAGTGAGCTCCAAAATTGGGCTCCAAGGTGAAAATACATTAAATGTGTTTTCCAAACTAAAATTTTGTTTAAAAACTTATTCATGGACGATATGACCTGAAATTTTTGGAAAAATTAAAATTTTGCGGAATGTATATGGAACATTCTCGGAATATGTAACGATATACAAATGAAATTTTTAACCGACATTTAAATGTTTCTTTTACATTCCATAAATATTCGGAATATTTTGGAGTAATTTTGGAATATTTTTTTCGGGATTTTAGGAACATTTTATGAATATTTCAAGAATATTTAACATTTGCTGGGATAGTTCAAATGATGAAATTAATTAAATGACGTAAAGATTGAATAAGTTGCCTGTTCCATATCTGATGTCTAAATTACTGTCATATTCCTATAATTTTCTTTGTAAAAAAAATTATATAGTAATTAGCTGTCTTTTACAACAGTTACATAAAAAGTACATCTTCAAAGTGCAATTAAATCCCAATCTCCTAATAAGAATGCGAGACTCGATTGTATTATTTTCCAGATACACGAGACTTAAGCAATTATCTGAGCGTAATATCTTATCATAGAAAAACAAAGGTGAATCTGTCATAAATGAGGAGAATTGATCGCGCGAAAAACAAGTTTCAACGAACTCGACCCCCCGCCAACAATTACGCGTGATTACGAGATAGCTTATAAAACCGCATGGTCGATCGCGCGATAAATTTACCACACAGCTTCCACTTCCTTCTGCCAACAGTACTGCAGTAGCACACAGTTGGTTCGCCATTGCCGTACGTTGTGCCTGCCGTAGCCTGCCGATCTCGCCGGTGTCTCGACAAGGTAATTTTCTTTGCGATCGCATTCTTGCAGCTTGCATGGGTTGTGGAGATCCTTGAATAAAAATCTAGCCGATTCGTGTCAAATCAAATACCGCAGAGCTGCGTTCAGAAATTTCACATGCAGGTCTTATTTTTTTTATTCTTGTTTAACATATAAATAACAAAGCTAAAACAATAGGTGCATCCTTTTGTTTTAGATGAAGATTTTGAACGCGGCCCTGTAACTAACGATAGATAAATTTAAAGAAAAGGAAATCATTTCTACTTTAAAAACTGCCTTTATACGTGTTGACAGTTTTTAAAGTTTCTAATTATTTTCTCCTTTGCTATTTATCCATTTGTTTTATTTCATCAGATTTCTTTATGTCTTATTGCATTTCTCTGGACGTAAACGGAAGTCTACGTCAACTCAAGTGGTAAAACGTTCGTGTTCCATGCACACTTGTTTATGCTCGCGTGATCCTTCTCTTTTCTGCTTTTCTCTATATGACGCAAGTATGATAATCGGTCATTGCTATTTTATTGGGTCACAGCCGCCATGTCGCAATTGACGCACACACAATTGTCAATCGTCGGTAAACGAACGTCATAATACGACGTATGACATCACGTGAGAACTCGAGTCTTTATGTGCGTACAAATATTATTCCGGATGTGTATACAAGACGAAACGGTCCTGGCGGAAATTTTGTATCGTTCATTATGAAAAGTATAATCTTGACTTCCCGTTTCCTTCTTCCAACTTACAAGTCGATTGTTTTAAAAGTACAAAAACAAAACACAAAACTTATATTTTCTTGTACATAATTACTCATAATTCCTGTTTCTTTGTTTATTAATTTCATTATGTATCTTCTAGATGACGAGTCCGGATCAAATAAGAGACATATGGAGAACTGCGGATGCTATAACATTCGATGTAGATTCCACTGTTATAACCGAGGAAGCTATCGACGAGCTTGCCAATTTCTGTGGGAAAGGACAGCAAATCACTGAATTGTATACACTTCTTATTTCGATTAGTTTTTTTTCCAGTGACGGATTAACGCATAGGCAAACAAGGCACTTATCTAAGACGACAAATTTTTGAGGACAGAAAATATTTACACGATAGAGATAAAATTTTAATTTGTTAATCTAACGTTTTTGCACGAGTTACACCGAACATATTTTATTAGAAACGATATTTTAAATATACAATTAAAAATATATTGTATTTATATTATTTATTAAGGATTATTAAATGTTTTCACCAACTAATGCGGGAGTGTAAACCTTTTTTTTATCCATTTTCTCTTTTATTAAATTTATAAATTAATAAAGTCACCTGGAGGTAGTTAGATGTTGGTGCCTAGGGGAGGCAAAATGCTTAATCCGTCACTGTTTTTTTCCTAAAATGACTTCACCTTCATTTTATTATGATTTTGTATTCTACCTGGGATCTTGCTTGCAATCCCGAGAAAAAATATGAAGATTTTATTATATATGTGTGGATCAAATTAAATCAAATAAGATCAAATAAGATCAAATTGTATCTGAGATTTAGTTTTTAGATATAATCAGATCTTCAAAAATCTAGCTTTGCCTCACATGATTGGCGTTATATCCATTAAAATCTAAATAGATGATCTGTGATATAAATAAAATGCTATATTGAATATAAAGAAAGCATATTGTAGATCTACGAAAATATATTGATATATATGAATATTTAACTTTATCAATGAAATTAAATGTAATAAATATTAGATCTACAGAGATATAATATCAAAGAAGATATGTATATATATATATGTACAAGTGTAATCTGATAAAAATTGGCGTACATATCTACAGAGATCTACAGAGACATAATAATATCAAAATAGATCTACAATCTTGGCCAAAGGTATAAGGCAGTAAGGCACAATTGTAATTTTGTTGCATTTTACGAAAAGTTAAGTATCTTAATGAAAAAAATCTCAGAGGTTTTTAACTACGCATTTTAAAGCTTAAAAATATATTATATCTAATGAGATAAATGTTTATATATTAGGATATAAATAAATCAAAGTATATCTACATCGATCTACTTTGATCAGGTCAAAATGAAGATCTCTTAAGACCTCTTTTTAGATCTAATGAGATCTACATATATATAGTGAAATCTTTGATGCCAGATTTCACATCTTTCATCGATGCAAAACTATCGAAAATTTTTCAGAACAAAGCAGGCTATGCAAGGTGATATGACATTTCAACAATCCTTATCTATAAGACTGGGGATCATAAATCCAAGTTTGACACAAGTTAAGGAGTTCTTAAATACACATCAACCAAGACTTACCACTGGTATCAAGTAAGATATTCATTTTTCAAGATATAAAAATGAACGAACGAAGATTCTTGTATTATATTTTTAACAATTCTTAAAATATATCTTTCAGAGAGTTAGTGTCTACTTTACAAGCTCGTGGAAAGCAAGTATTTCTTGTCTCTGGTGGTTTCCGCTGTCTTATCACACCAATTGCTGCTAAACTTAACATTCCACCTGAAAATATTTATGCTAATAGATTAAAATTTTATTTCACAGGTATGCATTAGCATATTTATAGCTCTTTTAAATGTACAATATATCCATAATATCCATACATACAAATATGTCATAGGAGAATATGCTGGCTTTGATGAGACTCAACCAACTGCTAGAAGTGGTGGTAAAGGAGAAGTGATACGGCGTCTTAAGGAAGAAAAAGGATTCAAAATTGTTATACATGTCGGTGATGGCTCAACAGATTTAGAAGCGTCACCGCCAGCGGATGCATTTATAGGTTTGTATAATATTCATTTGAAAAAAAACTGTCTCGTTAGGCGCGTTCAAGTTGTCAAAGCGGCTAGCCTGCTCGCCGAGCAAATGAGCATAATTGGTTGTTTTTTATAGATCCAACCAGTCATATTCAATTGTTCAATAAGCATGCCTAGCCGCTTTGTCTTGAATTCGCCCAATATCTCGCAACACTCTATTTCATGCTAAAATAATGATAGAAGTTGTACTGCAGATCATGAACTATGCTTGATTATCATTACAGATTTATTTTTGTTCCAGGATTTGGAGGAAATGTAATTAGGAAAAATGTAAAATCACGCGCGCAATGGTTTATTACAAATTTTGATGATCTTGCAAAATGTTTATAGATGTAAAATATTTTTATAAAAATGACATAAGGATTCTTTTGATATTAGTCAAAATAAAAATTACATCATTCACACAAAATAAAGACGATTATAATCGATCAAACAAGAATTAAATTATAGGAATTAATACACAGTTTCAATAATTGTAGGCAATGTTCATAAATGTTCATAAATAACACATTTTATTCTACACAGTACATGAAATATACAATTACCTTTTTTTTAATGCAGTGATTCCTAAAATCATCTGTGCCATCTATGTATGTAACATTTTATATCAACCAATTATTATTGATATAACTGTCGTAACTCTAAACTTGTTTATAACCCTGTACATAATTACATTGCAAATGTATAGAAAATTGCTTTTTTTACTTGCCTATTTTTATTGTGAACAAATCGAATGTCGGCGAGTGGTAAAATCCCGATGAAACAATATGATAAAACATGATAATATATGAAATATGTATTTTTCGTTTCACGGATTCGAAATGCTGATTGCCATGAATCTGAACTTTTTTAGCAACTGTAAGGTTATCATTGATGTGTATTTTTTATGACTTACAATTTGCCTCAGAAACTGTGTAAATTTCAACATTGTTCCATCATAATGCAATTGATGATAAATTATGTACTAGTTTTTGATGCTTTCTCCAATTTTTTCTGTGAAATCCACTTTTGTATCTTCTGTTGAAGTTCAACATTCGATTTCACCATGTCCATTGTAAGTGGAGATCGATTAAAAGGATCAGTTTGATCACTTAGCAAATGCCTGAAAAATATATTTAATAAAATATACATAAATTTTGTATTGTGACATATATATGAATTAAAAAATGTTTGTATATAATATATTCGTATACACTAATATACCTTGCTATAGTTTGACGATCGATAGTTATTTTCGACGAAGGCAAAATAACAGGATCTGTCATAACAGTTGACATAATTGGATCTAAGAATTCGTCAGGAACACCTATCAAAATCTCATCTTCCTCTCGCTTTTGATCTGCAGCTTCTTCCACGCTTCTTGCAAATTGATCCAGATCTCCCAAGATTCCCACGCCACCAATACGAACTGTGATATGCACACGATTTTTTAAAATTCTTTTGGTCTAAATAAGGTGCTTCTTAGAAAAAAAATTACCGTGAACAGAAAAACTTACCGAGAACATTATCTGCTAGTTTAAATAGTTCTGGACTATAAGAACGTCCATCTTGAGATACGGCAAGTGTAAAGCTTTCACTTTTACTCAGATTAATGTAAATTTCACATATATTTAACACCAAATTTGCAGGGTTGAATGCATATTCTTTTTGATCGTTCACCTAAATTTTATAGATATACGAGATTATAATAACATTATTTTTATTGTAACATTTACAAATTCTAAAAATTACCTTAAGATTTTTTTTATTTGGTCCTACTAATTGCAGTAATAAATAATTGAGCATAGAAGCAATACGGTCCACCATCGTTGGATGGCAAAAAATTGATTTTATTTCGGTAGTCAACATTTTTATCGTTTGTATAGTTTTCCTACCCAGAATATTATCAAAGCGAGCAATCATACCAATATGCTGAAGATACGATGCCTGTTGTTCGCGTTCATTTGGTGGCAATTTATTCCATTCTCCGCTTTCCCTTATTTTCGAAAACAAAAAGTAATATTTAATGCAAATGTATTACAAAGTATTCAATTTAAGAAATTGATGCACATACACAATAGAAAATAATAATCTTATGCAACGTGTGAGATGCATTTTTAAAAATACCTAGCTTGAAGCATTTGTTTCAATTGTGCCATATTTGATAAGGCTTCGTCCAGGAGAAATACAGCATCATTCATTAATAGATTAATAAAACGTAGAAACAGAGGTGGTTGGACAGCTTCCATGTTGCTCTCAGCTTCTTGAGCTAAAGTACTGATACATTATATTATATGAAAGGCTTTATTTATTAGATATCAAATTTTAAATATCAAACAAAGACAATGATTAAATATATAATTTTCCTTACATAAAATTATTACGATGCTCGGCAAGTTTCCATAAATAGTCCATAACAATGTACATTGGACGACGATAGTTGAATTTTTGTTCAAACTGTACACTTTGCCCAGTCATCTCAATACTTACAAATACATGCAGTAAGTTGGCAATTATCTGTTTGTAATTAAAACAGCACGCCAGAGATAATCAGCTATATACATGAATTTCTTGATAATGAATTCAAAACAGAACTTTATTCACCTGCTGTCTGTGCGAATGAGTGAGAAATAGTTGTTCCCTATGGAATGTTCCTAAGTTTGGTGTCGCAGGAGCAACGTTCTCGTCTACAGTCGGCAAAAGCGCCTCCAGACTTTCGGCTAAACGGGCGCGCAAATGCGGATTATAAAGACGATGCTGAGACTCCATCAAAACTATAATCTAAAGGAAACAATATATAACTTTAACAATCGCAATGAGAATACATTTCATTCTATCTTAACTTACTTCCGTCAAGATCGGATTCAGAAAACTTGCACCCTGTTCCTCGAACGTGTTTGGACTTAAACGACGTAAAAAATACAAGAATCCAATGGTATTCTCTACTATGAATTCAGGAATGCATCTATAGACATAGACTTATTAACTTTCATATTAATTTCATTCATAATTATTATGATTTGATATATGTATATACGACATACCTTAATGTAATTGGAACAGTTTCTGATAACGGGAATGTAACAGGTGTATAATGTGTTGGTACAAAATTTTGTTTATTCCCTTCTTCAGTTATAACGTATAAATTGACTTGTATTAACCAAAACGCCGTCATTGCGTGAAATTTCGACAAATGACACAACATTTCCGGCACTAATAGACTCGCTTTAAGAGATAGATACCTAGAAAAAATATATTATATATATATATACAATACATATGTATATTGAACTATAAAAATATGAAGAGAATTAAAAATGTGCATGCATTAACATGCTTTATATACTTTATCATCTCAGCTTCCATTCGTTGTGATATGAGCTCTAGCACCTCTGAACTGCCACCAGTTCGAGCATCGTTGTAAGCTCTTTGAATTCTAGCTAAATCTTGATTTGCTCTAGAATAAAAGTAGAATAAAAGTAGAATAAAAAACAATATTTAAACAATGAGAGAGAACAGATCCTATATAGTTAAAAATTATAGAATCAATAATTTGCTTACTTTAAAAATTTGTCCAGAATAACTCTGTAACCAAGATCTAATGCACGATGTGTAAGGAAAAAGCATTCTGTTATAAATCCGAAAGAATCTGACATTGGTCGACTTTCATCCTCTGGAGTTGGTATTAAACATGTTTCTGAACTCAATCCTTTCATATGTATACCACGTTGCAGACTCTCAGTTTCATCACTTGCCTAAAAATATGACCAGAAGGTAACTGTATGTGAGAACTGTGAGAGCGATTGATTTATGATTAGTGAATCCCAGATTCTATACCAGCCTGTGTATCAGTTTATAAGTTTTATTGGAGAATCAAAGTTTGTGTAAAAGGAATACATAAGGTAAATTGCTAAAATAAATACTTATTAAAACTTATTTGTTTATTGCATATGTTGATAAGTATGTATGCATCAGTTTTATTATTTACAAAGTATTTAGACTCAGACGCATTTAAACTAACATCTGAGACACTAAGGCTACTTCTTTTTAAAAGTTACAATCGACACAAACATCATTCTATCCTTTTTGACATTTCAATAAATAACAAAGATAAAACAATACTTGTGCCGATTGTCTCTTAAAAGAAAGACAGTTTAATTAAATACAAGTATTGTGTCATGTATTTTAAAATCTTAAAAAACCAACCTCTGTACTACAATATGTAGGATCTATCTTCGGTACTTTGGCATCATTCAATTTAGCACAAAATGGTTGACAAAGTCGTAACAGTACATTGCCCACATTCAGCATAAAACCATCTGACACGCACAATACTCCTAGTAATCCCATCTCCATTTGAGAGTTCCAAAGTTTTCCTCTATTTGCATTTGCATGGAGGCAATTACCCAACCATCGCAAAGTCAAGTGACGAACGTTCGTCGAACATCTCAACAAGGAATGGAAAACTTTGTATAGAGCTTCGCTTAAACTATCCATCGTTGTCCATACTGTACCCTCCATGACCGTATTTGACTGTAATATTTGGATAATGTATAAAGCAAAAATCACATAGCTTAAAAAACTATTTGATTAATAAGAAAAATTGTCATACTTGCTGTAAAGGTTTATCGAAGAGATCGTACGGATCTTTAGGTGTTTTTGGTAAACAGCTTATGCTAAAGAGTGCACCCAATAATGTGTCCGAATATGCACAACCCTGATTATTTTTTGGTGTGCTATGACAAATTATCAATTTTGCCAATGGATCAATGGTGGAAAATGCATTCAATAGATCAAACCACTGTTGGCGAAAAGTAAACAGATTGCTCTGAGCTGCTTCCTTATGAATAATATCAAGGACAGGAGAAAATGATTTTGTAATTATGTCTTCTATATCGCTTTCTCTATTTGCGGTTATCAATTCTTCTACTATGCCATTAACAAATAATAATAATTCTGACTTGGACGTAACATCATCCATAAATAAAGCAACAAATTGGCTGTGAACCTACAATAATTAAAATATGAGAATTAATGACAATTATGCTGTCAATGTACACTTTACTGATTCAACAGTAAATTGGCGTTCTTAGGCCTATTTCTATTAATATAGATTAACTTTAATCTATGTTTAATTTACTTTTTATCTCCTTCTAGTTTTAAGAATTAGAAAAAGATATAGAGTACATTAAACCAAGTGTGATTGAAGTTCATTTACAATAATAGAAATAAACATTAAATTATATTATAAAATTATTGTAATGTCAATTTTTAGAGGATAAGAATATATGCCAATATAGTGACACTGAAACAATGTTATATTCTGAAGCAAGGAATGTAATGAATTATAATTAACTTTTCAGCAAGAGACAGCATACACAGTGATCATTTCATTTTTGTAAATGGAAAACAAGGATGTAACGATTCATTGTGTTACACTGTCATCTGTCTCTTGCTTAAAAAACCTAATAAATCTTACTTAACTGAGATTTTACAATGAGTCGATAGTCGGTAATCAAAAAATCTTAACTAGTCTTAGCCTTAAATGTACAAATTGGCTATTGGCCAACTTTACCGATTAAGGGCCATGGCACACAAAAAAACTTACGCAGTAAAATGTAAACAGTAAGCGAATTGACCAATCACAATAGAGTCCATAAGGCCGTAACATAAGCAGTAGCGAATTCAACATGTTGATTTCCTTACTGCTTACGTCTTACTGCCTTAAGTTTTTTGTGTGCCAGGGCCCTAAGACTTAGAACCGTTTAGGACTTTCACTCATTGTAGAAAAAGCTTTAATATTTAAACGTAAGGTTTCAAAAATAGACTCCCTCATCCTCTAAAGGTTACAGAAAAGTCTAATACCTCCTGATACTGAAACAAATCTGGTTCCTGTAAAGCTGTGTTGACATTTTGCAGTACAATTTGACAAGCTTTTCCTACAATTTCTTCGAGATCGCCGTTTACTTGATAATGCTTCAAACGATAGTAGCATTCATACAGGTAGGTTATAACCTGTGTTTCAATAACATGACCATCTACATCCTGCGTTTTAGGTTTAGGATTTGGCAACATCAGACGCTCGAAGACGGCATGTTCTATTGAGTCAGCGTCAACGTACACCAGAGAGCTTTGCGCACAACTGTTGTTATCTTGACGTAATGTTAAACCGAACACATGTGCCACAAGCTGATCGACTTTATCATCAAAATTCGTAGGTTTCGTCGCGTTCTCAGATTTGTCCTTAATCGCGTCCGACGATCGTTCCACATAATTTGCATCGTTGGCTTCATTGCCGATCGCATGCTGCGAAGAGAATGATACAGCATCATTATCTGTAGAGAACAATCCGGCGAATGGGTTGGCTCGTATATTGTCGCACATGTTGCAGTGTTCTTTTACAACGAGGTCTCTGTGATAGACATAATTAAACTGCGAACGAATCAACGTGAATCAACATTCCTCGTCATTCTGTCATTTGGTTTCAATGTGCCAAAACGTCCACTTCGTCACACAACCAACACGAACCTCAATAATACTCACATTACTCACTAGTAGTCACTAGTACTGCTTCATCATCGTTCAATTGTGCTCAATACGAGATATTCGAGTGTAGATTGTAGGAAATTGCAGAAATGCAAACTGCGGAATCATAGCATTGGCTGCGTTCAGCAGAACGTTTGTTTTGCAACTGTTGGAAGTTTCCTTCGCGCTGATTGGATCATACTTTTAGATCTAGAAGAATGGTCCTATCTCAGCAGACAATCATAAAACGGTTGCAAAACTGTTGAGTCTGCTGAACGCAGCTATTGGCTGCATTGGCTGCATAATAGCTGCGTTCAGCAGACTCAACAGTTTTGCAAC